TTGTTTTAAAAAAAAAAAAAAAAAAAAAAAAAAGTAAAAAAAAAAAGGAAGTATTTACAGTGAACATTCCTTCTCCCTTCCCCTGCTGTCCTGCAAACACCAGTTGTACTCCCTGGAGGCAGCTCAAGTTTCCAGGTCCTTCCAGGGATAGTTTACACACAAACAAGGAAACAGTCCTCCCCCTTCCTCCCAACACACAGAAATGGCAGTACCCTAAACACGCCAGCCAGAGCTGCTTTTTGTCTCTTAACATGTCGTGGAGGTAATTTTTTTCTCAGTACATAAAGAGTTACCTCATTTTAAATAAAGATTTTTTATTGATTTTTAGAGAGAAAGGAAGGGAGAGAGAGAGAGAGAGAGAGAGAGAGAGGGAAACATCAATGTGAGAACGAAACATTGATTGGCTGCCTCCCACACGGCCCCACAGGGGACCGAGCCCACAACCAAGGTATGTGCCCCGACCGGGAATCGAACCAGCAACCTTTTGGTGCAGGGGATGATGCTCCACCCAACTGAGCCACACTGGCCAGGGCAAGAGCTACCTCACTCTTTTTAACAGCCATATATAAACTATTTCACTAGTCCCCTCTTCACGGACATTTATTTCCAAACTTTTTCTGTTACAAATAATGTCTTAGTGATCGATTCTGTATATACATTATTTCACACATATAAATCCCTAGAAGTAGAATTTCTGGGTCCTCTGCGAATTTGCAATTCTGATAAATATTGACAGATTAACTTCTTGAAGGAATAATTTACACTCTTAGCAGTGTTACAATGTCTCACGGTCAATTACCTTGACAAGATGGGTGAAATCAAATTTCTTTTATATTTGCCAATTTGATGGGTGAAAAATGACATCTCAGATTAGTTTTAAGCTGAATTTCTTAGTATAATTATCTTTTATAATATGATTAAGTATCTTTTCATATGGTTAAGAACTATTTGCATTTTTCTTTTCTATGAATTGTCTGTCCATTTCCTTTGTCCATTTAAAAAACTAAATAGTTGGGATTTATTTCTTATTGATTTCTAGAAATTAGATGTTAGGGAAATTAGCCTTTATGTGCTGTACAAAAATATTTTTGCTCAGTTTGTCATTGTTTTTGACTTTACTTCTACAAGTAATTTCTGCCATGCAGAAATTTTTAAATGCTATTTTTAAATACAGATTTATCAACCTTTTATTTTGTGGCTCCTGGGTCAAATTTTTCATTGTTTCTTCTATTGCTTTTATTGTTTTATTTGCATATTTAAATATTTCCATTCAATTTTAATTTACGGGGTGTAGGGTGTGAGGTAAGAATTAAACTTTTTTGTCGGGCACTATTTATTAAATTGTGCACATCTTTTTTCTACCAACTTGAAAAGCCATCTTTACCCTATAATTTTTTTTGTATGTATTTGGGTTTATAGTTGGACTTTTAGTCCATTCTAATCATTTTCCTATTCATGTGTCAGTACTACACAGTTTTGATCATGTTAAGTTTATAATGTATTTTAGTATTTGGAGGGCTAGTATCACCTTGTTATGCTTTTTTCCCTAAATTATCCTGTATTTTCTTGCATATTTTTCTGTATGAACTTTATAATTTAGTTTTCTTGCTTCCCCAAATCTTGTCAATATTCTCAATATTTGTAATATAATCATATTCGAGTTTCATATTAATGTAGGAAGAATGGATTCTTATGACTTTAAGCCTTCCAATCCAAGAATATGTTTTGACTTTTCACTTATTCAAGTTTTTTGGGGGGTTACAGCAGGAAGTTTTAAAGTTCGTTTGTTTGTTTGTTTTATATATAAACCCTAAACATTTCTTTTAATGCCAAGGCAGTTTATATTTTTAATTATGTGATGCTTTCTTCCATTAAGTCTCCTAACTGGTGGTTCTTTATAAGTGTAAAGACTCTTGTTTCTAACATGTTAAATTTTTACCTAGATACTTTACTAATTCTATTATTTGTAAATTACTCTTTTTATTTTCTTGGGTTTCCATTTGTTTATTTAAAAAAATAATCACTGAGTGTCTACTATGTGTCAGACAATGTTCTGGGCACTAGGGAAGTAGCAATGAACACAACAGGCAACTCCTGCTCTCCAAGAATTTACATTCTATTGAGAAGGAAATAAACCTGTTAATAAATATACAACATGTCTGGAGGTAGTGATGTCATGGAGACAAATAAAGCACAGTAAGGGAATAGAGAGTAACAGGGGTTCTGGAAGAACAGAAACTTGAGTGGAGTAGGAGAGTCAGTCTTGAGGATATCAGGGGGAAGAGTCTTCCAGGGAGAAGGGGAAGTAGAGGCAAAAGTCACATGCGTTTGGCATGTTTGAGGAACAGCCAGGCAGTGAGGATGCCTGGGAAGAGGGAATGAATAAAGGGAACAGTATTTTCCAGGCTCGTAATCTTATCACCTGTACATAGTAATTTTATCTCTTCTTTTTCAGTTTTTATGCCTCTAATTTCTTTTTCATGTCTAAGTGCATCAGCTAGTACCTCCAAAACAATGTGAGAGGGTTAGTAGTTCCTAAGATCCCTTCCTACTCTGAGATTCTAAGGGCTGACATTAGACCAGAAAAAGGCCTGGGTACCTGAAGAGTCTGAGTTTGAGTTATGAGTTCATTTTCTTCTTTATTATACATACTTAGCCCTTTTCTGGGAATGCCGAAGACCGCAAACACCGATTCCAACAATATCCTGATAATTTTCGTGCCTACACTGGCTTTATGGGCTT